TTCAGTTCAAAAATTAAAAAACAAAAAAATATAAAATGAGAAAAAAATGAACAAGAAAAATGCCTAAGTACATAGACCAGTAGAAGGACTCTTCATTGCTTTGGTATGAGCCAGTTTATGTATGGTAAACGTTGCAGGTAACAAGTGGCAGGACGAAACCACATGATTTTAAAATTTTGCCAAAATTGTAGTCCGTGAAACAACAACAATTTTCAACACTTAAAAAAGTAAATTAACTAGAAGTACAAATTTGAATCGGTCATATGAGAGTATTTGACACGCTACCATTAGAATGCTACCATTAGAGTTCACGTATAAATATTCATGCAAAAATAATTGGAATCATAGATTAGTTAATTAATTTTCATATCAATTAAAGAAATAAAATTTAAATTCAACTAATGTAACTTATAGGTTTATAACTACATATTGTTACAAGTAATGTTTCTACTATATTTATCTATAATATATATAAAATAGCTTTCTCCTACTCCATTAATACTAATTCATATAAATAATAGTGTTTCGGAATAAATTTAAATTAATTTTAAATAAAGAATAACTCTTAATATTGTTATTATAATGATATATTTGCTATATATTATGATGTATGATAATCATTTATGATATACCTATACACTGATTTATGATTTATATAATAATGATATGATATATAAAATCATTTATTATTAAAGAAAAAGAGATAAAACAAGAAGAAAGGCCAACTATTAAGCTATATACATGTCGTTTTAATATATATAATCATTTGTAACAGGAAAAAGATAAAAAATAAAAACAAAAACAAAAGATCTGCATATCTGTATATAGTTATGATACTTATAATCACTTTTTACAAGAAAAAAAAGATAAAAAAGGATAAAAATCTTAAAATATCTAACTATAGTTATAAAGTTTTCTTTTTCTGACTACAAATATGTTCATCATTAGAAGGTAGCTGATGTCTTTCGTAACAAGTCACCTGGACTATATCACCTTGACAACGAATCTGATGCATTTTATCATCTCAAACCATGTTTCTTTATTACAATTTCTTTTCCATTTGCTTTCTTCATTAGCTAATGTTACTAATGGGTCCTTATTATTCTTTGATGAGTCATTTCAATTCACTAATTTACCAAGGTAGAACTGTCTCAGTGGTCAAAACGCCATGACTCTCTAGAGACATAGTCTTATTCTGACTGAACATATTTTCAAAAGGAGAATACTTAAGTGGAAATACTTGGTAGCTCGTTGAACAGTTATTTTCCAAAGAACAGGGTTTTGGCTTCGTTGGATTTATTACTACAATAAAAAAGTGTATGGTATTATATTCGCAGCTTCTACTAAACTAGAAACCTTAATCATATTGTATATTATCAAGTATGATAGACTACAGTATTGATTGTTACTATCTTTAAAATATCGATATATGTGACCATATTATAATAGTATTTATAAATATATAGCCTGAAATACCTATTATCTAAGTTGTAAGGTATTTAGAAAATCAAACGCAATTGCATTTAACCAACTTGGTTGAGCGTACAGGCAAAAAGCATCGAACGTCAACAGACACGCTAAATTGAAATTTCCTTTGGACTCTTGGATTTCCTCTCCTTATATTTTCCTATTTTTCATATATCCCCTTTTTTTTGGAATTGATTTTTGGTTCGTTTTTTATAACTTCAATTTAGAGTTTTTAAGGCTTTTACCTTTCCACGTAGTTTAATGTAGCCTTTTTCAACAAAGATGCTGCGTTTAATTTTATTTTTATTCCTTCGGTTGCGCTGTCTGTCAATGGTAATGAAATTGCAATCTTTATGGGCAGATCCATGAAAAATAAATGAAGCTTAAAATGCTGCCGTGGCATAAACGTCAGTTTCCACTGCTCTTACGAGTGCTCGTAAGAGGATTCTCAGGATACATTCGTAATAGTATTTAAGCATTAACTTATCTGTGTTTGGTTTGCTCGATTGATAAGTTACCGATAGGCACATTTCGAGCAATTAAGAATTACAGACATGATGGATGAGTCTTTTCAAGGACTGGAGTTAAAAGGAAATTAACCACACAAAAATGATTTTATATGCAAATGTATTGGCCTCGACTTTTGTGATTTTTAAAAAGAAAAAATAATATATGTTTTCATGCTCCATTTTTTGTGTATAAATTTTTAATAATTAACTTAAAATAGTAAGAAAACTTTTATTGAATCGTTTTTTTTTGTTAATTTGCAAATAATTATTAAAGGTTGTTTTTCAGCGACATGATATCATTAGAATACAACAAACAAACAAAATTTTACACTAATTTTACGAAGTCACACTCACGTTTTGATGCAATAAAACAATACTCTTGATCCATTTCGATGATCACTTTTAAAATCTAAATGTTAACAAAAGAAAGTATAAACATAAATCATTACAGAATTTCTATCAATAATACCAAGTAATAAAGCATTATAATAGTAAAGAAGTTTTGAACAGTAGTAAATAACAAGAACAAAATTTTATTAATTAATTTAATTTTGGGCTAAACATACAGCTGTTTCGAATAGTACCAAATGCCCATCATCAGTAGTCTTGGAATTATTTGTTATATTTAATAAATCGTAAAAAAATTTTAACTAAGGGTTGTGCTCGTACTCTGCCAAATTTGATACTCATAGTCAGTGCTTATTAGCAAACTGAACCAAAGCCGTACTTGACTTTTATATTTGAACTTGAAATTTTATCAACTTGCCTGAAAGTTCATTAACAAATTCACTTACTGTGTTGTGTTCGAATAAAGTGATAAACCAACTGTAGAATAATTAAATTAATTAATTTTGTTTTATTTTTAAACTATTAAATTTTAATATTATTCTTCTGAACTATTTTTCTTTATTGCATGATTTTATTTCTTTCTTGTGCATAGAACCTAACCTAAGATAGTAATACGGAGAAAGGTATGCTCTATATGATTACGGAGCAAATGTGCTCCGAATGTTACTCTCCGATTTGTACAAGCGATTCTGAAAATTGAATATATTTATATTCATATTATTTCCATTATAATTCAATTTCCATTATAATTAAATTTGATTTTAACGTCAATATGACGGTAATGACTATTTTATTTATTGGAAATTATTATTTCTTTATTGTTATACAACAGTTTCTATTAAGTGAAATAGTCATTAGCGTCACATTAACATTAAATCAAATTCAATTAAAATAATATCCTATTACATATAAAGACAAGAATAATAATTGTGTATAATTTTTAATTAAGAGCTTCATTATTAGGTCCTAAAAACCCAATAAAAGTTTTTTAATAAATAAAATTTCTACCTATCAAACAACAAAGGACAAAAAAATAATTTTTTTTGCAGTATACTATTTTAAAAGCAGCTTTAAAGAAATTTGCTGCTTATTTCCGGTCTTCCAAGCGAACGTATATAAGTATATTAGTAAAATGTTTATCTAATTGATTATAAAAGAAACAATTGATTTCCTTATAACATTTTTTGCAGTGTACTTTAAAATTTTTAAAAACACCTTAAAAGAAATTTTGCTGTTCATTCTCGCTCTTCTAAGCGGACGAATTCACCTATGGTAGTAAAAATCTAACAAACTATAAAATAAACAAATAATTTCCTTATATTTTTTATTTGCAGTGTACCTTAAAGTATTTAAAAACGCCCTTACTGTTTATTCCCGCTCTTCTAAGCAGACGAATTCATCTATAATAGTATAATAGTAATAATGTTTATCTAATAAACCATTAAAGAAACAAATAATCTTCTTATTTTTTTCGCACTGTACTTTAAAGTTTTTGAAAGCACATTTAAAGAAACTTGTTTATTCTCCGTCTTCAAAACGGACGAATTCACATATAGTGGTAAAATGTTTATCTAATTGACTATAAAAGAAACAAATAATTTCCTCATAATATTTTGCAGTGTATTTTAAAGTTTTTGAAAGCACTTTTAAAGAAACTTGCTGTTTATTCTCTGTTTATTAATTGCCTATAAAATATACAAATAACTTTCTTAAAAATTTTTTTGCAGTGTACTTTAAAGTTTTTGAAAGCACCTCCGGCGTGTAAGCTTTCTTTAAGATCAACACAAGTAATCTGTTCGTTAAGCTTTTACTAACCAAAGCTTAGTTGTACAATCGAAAGCGCATGCTGAAGGCCACAAGGTGCGTTCAGTATAGGCCACTGCCTTTGGTGCTTCATACCTGTGACAAAGACTTTATTTACAATGAAACCAGTTTGGTAAAAAAAGCTTTGGTATGCAAGCCGCTAAAATTATGAGGTAAGCCGCACGATCTGCAAAATCTCAGCAAACACATTTGAGCGAAAAGACGAAGCAAGCGGTTGGGCTTCGCAAACAAAGCGGAGAAGCAAACTGAATATTGAAAATACAATTTTAAAATAAAATTTGCGTTATTGTCAAACGAAAAGTGCAAGTTACTTCAAAAGACTTGAGAAGAAAGGAAACAGAACACATGAGGGAGAATAAATAAATAAATAAGAAACAAAATTAAAAGATATATAAAAATAAAAATAACATTAAAATAAAAATTGTAATAAACTGAGGACAAGAAACAAACGAAAGCACGCTTGTTTTGAAAAAAAAAATAATTATGCAGACAAAGTTGTTAAAACAAAATTTTAGTAAAATAAAAAAAAAATAATAGTTAAGCTAAAAACTGAAGACGAGTCAAACCTGAAACAATTTAATTAAAAAAAAAATACAATAAAAAAAAATTTATTACAAAATACAAAACAAATACAAAAAATTTTAAACTTCGAAAAAAAAAAATTAATTAATTTAAAATTGCAAGTTGTTGGCGCGCTGTGTAGCGTTCAACTGTATGTGTGTGTGTGTGTGAGTATCTGTGTTACTGATATGCATTTAATTAAAACAATAACAGCAACAGTAAATATTGCATATATGACATGCCAAAGACAAACAACAATGACAAAACTAAACAAAAATAGTTTAATAAGAAAAATTGTATTTTAATTATTTATGTTTAATAAAAATAAATATAAAAAAAAATAAAATTATAAAAAACATTGCAACGAATTTATGACCAAAAAATCCGCAAGAGCCAGAAGAAAGCCTAAAAATAAACAACAACAACAACAACGCCACATTTAACAGATAAGATAAGCAAAGATCTAAGCAGAGATTGTGGCGTCTGCGCACATTGCGCTCACAGTTTACAACAGAACGCGTACAACAACAACAACGCATGTGTCTAGTCTAGCCCGCCATTCATGCAGGCAACCGCATTGAGCAACACCGCCGCATTAACCTCGCCATTGATGCACTGCGCACAGTAGTGCAAAACCGCGCAATCTGTGCACAATAGTGCAGCATTGAAGCATTGAAGCAGTGAAGCAGAGAAAGAGTGAAGAAGCTGTCAGTGTGCTGAAGAGTAGCTGCAGTAATAGTTGTAGTAGTACATCGTAAATATCATAAAATTATTGCCATTGCGATAATTTTCAATTCAATGAAATCTAGTTTCGAATGCTCAGAGACTTTTTTGCCCAACGTGCGCTGCTAAATTAAGATTCTTCGCCTGCATTAAGGAAAAGTAGTGCAAATTCCTTGCAGACTTGGCTTTTTTCAATCACATTTCGCATTCGCACATAGACGATCGCACATAGAATTGTGGGGAATTGTGAGGAATTCTACAATATCATTGTAATTGCTAATTTAGTTTTTGTTTCGATTGCTGCAAAATGAAAATGGAATACGAGAAAATATCTTCGTACTTTCAGAATTCAACAAAGGTGAGTAACATAAATAAATTACTCTTATAAGAAATATACACGACCTCATGGATGCACAAATGCACAGATGCACATAGTTATTCTCATATGTGTACACACTCATAATAATAAAATTAATTAATATTAAATAGGTTAATCAAAACAACTGCCATAATTATTCACAATTATTCCATACACATCCACATACATAGTATTTATTGCTTTTAATTATTTTTAAGTTTTAATTTCTATATAAATTATACAAAAAAAAAGTTTGTTTTTAAATGTTGCGCGTTTTAATCTCTTCACACCAAAACTAAGCCAGGCGCAGATAACCTTTTCTATTATCAAAAAAAAAATGTATTAAAAAAGTTCAAATAAATTTCACAAAAAATTTGATTAACTAAAATATTTTTTTTCATTTTATGTTATTCAATTATATTTAAGTATAATTATTTCTAAGTTTTACAAAAATATTGTTACACATTTTCAGGAAAAGAAAATATATATTTTACCAAACGCTATATTCTGAGAAGTTTAAAAATTTTCTTAGTATTTTTGCACATAAATATGAAAATTAAACATAAATATTGAGTTCCAAATAAAATATTTGACTTATTAAGTAGATTAGCATAGAAAATTAATTATATAGACTGAGTAGCATTGCTTCTTAAGCTTCATTCTACCTAAAATAGAAAAGTTATTACAAAAATTCTTCGAATAATCTATGATCCTCTACGGGTTGGTGACTACTACTGCATCCGAATAAACCATGTGCTATACGAGCTTAATGACGACATATTTATAGTTCAACGAATTAACAACCAGCGGTTTCGCTGACTTGGTCACGTCGCACAGTGTGCCAAAATAGAAATTAGCCGTTCAGAATTCAATATGTTCTGCACCAATAGAGATATTAACATGAAATTTTTCTGAAAATTTGGCCTTTCTTTTATATCGAATTTGAGCACAATCGGGCTACTTGAACTCCTCCAAATTTTTGATAAAAAATAGTCCATTTTTACATTTTCTTAGTTCTCTCAAAAACTATGATAGATAGGAAGTTGAATTTTGGTGCCCAAAATACCTACCTATAATACATATGCCCCAAGTTTTTCGAATTTTGATCGGCTAATTTCTGTTTTGACACACTGTGCATCGAGAGAATGGATTCTTTAGCGTATCAAGTTGAGGATGTATAACCGTACTTGATGAACTGGGAATACCCAGTAACGGGTTGTTAAGACTATTGAATAATAAATTGTCCAGCAGTAATTATCCAAATAGTGTTAGCAATATTAACAGGAAATCCTCATGATTAACAAACAAACATAAAATTGTCCTATTACTTCAGTTATTGCATTTCTCTAGAATAATTTAAATTTTTACCAATTGAAGAATTAAAAAAGATTATTCACTTAAGCCTCAAATAAATCCAATATATCAATATATTAAGTTGTTTATAAAATAATTTAATTTTTCCCAAACGGAGAACTTAAATGTATATTGTGCCCCCAACTTTATTTGGATCAATTTTTGTTCCAACAAAGATCAAACGTTTATAAGCATTATCTCATGCTAATATCAGACAATATAACAACAAAAAGAATAAAAATTAATTAATTAAAAAAAACACATATAAAAATTCCAACAACAATATAATATATATAAAAAGATATTTTAATGATTAGACATTAAGTTGCCCTGCTATAATTTTTCAAATTAGAGTCCTAATAACAACTGGTGATGTTATTCAGTTGATGGTGTTATCCCGAACTTTTTCTGGTCTTTCAATTAAAATTGATGGAACTCGAATTCAATCAAATCAAATTCTATTTTTTTTTAAACATGGACGACTTGGATTATTTTATGAACAATGTTCTGAAGTTTGTGGAGCTAATCTAATTCATCCATGCCTATTGTAATTGACTGATTCGCAACTAATTTCTTTATCAAATAATTTATGAACTAAATAGATGACTGATAGCTAGTCATCTAATGGTTCTTTTAAATCATTCAACAGTTAATTAGCAATTACTTCAAATCAGAAACTAATTTATAAATGAAACCATATTTTATTTTTATAAAAAGCATTTTTTTCTAAAAACAAAACCAGAGGTACGATTATAACTAACCAATTGAAAAGACTTTTTAGACACAAATAAACTAACAATATTTTATTTTTTATAAACTATAAAATATTAATTATATTATTATTAAATACTTTTTATATAATAATTATATATATTATAATATAATTTGTACCATAAATGTTTAAATTAATCATTATTACTGACCTAACATCAGACTTTAAAACTAACAGAACTTAAGCATACAATATTTATATAATAATATATAGACAGATTCAAGATACTTTAAATTAAAAATATTAATACAAAGGTTTTCTTCAGAAATTTAAAAGCATAAGGAGATATTTGTCTGTTTGACCCATTTTTAGTGCTATTACAGCTAACAGCACATTTCGGTACTAGTGCTTATGTTTATTTTTGGTACTACTTAGTGTAACTATAATTCTTGAATATTACATATATTGTAAGATTTTATTGCTTTAACCTAGCACTTTTATTTTTGAATCTTTTATTATAAATATAAAGTAATTTGAATATAGATTAATTTCGAGGAAGAGGTTTATTTCTCAATTTACATTAATATATATTACATAATATGCATTATCTTGAGATCCGGTCTTTCCACAAATGGTAGATTGTTTATGGTATTTTGGGAAAGTGTATGAAGTGTTTGCAAAAAGTTAAAATACTCTAACAGAAATAGTTGTTATTACACTGCAGTCTTAACGATCATGTCCGCAAAAAAAAATATATAATAGTCTAAGATATCCAAACAATAGATCTACTATATAATACATGTAGATTCTAATGTCATTTAAAATTTATTGCAATTTTATTTAACGTTCATGCAACCCACCGATTATAGTGGACAGGGTTTAAAACGATATAAAAGTATAAGAGAACAAATCAATAAAATCAGATGGAAATCAAAGTCGGATTTTTACTTCAAACATACATTTTCTTTCTGAGTATTGCCACAAGTTCTAACTTCGATCTACTGTAACCATAAGCAAATTCATTAAAATTACACATAATTGAGCACATTAAATGCAGCATATATCCCTGAAGATAAAAATAAATCTAATGAGAATTATAAATTTTTATTTATATAGTATTTGTAAAAAAGCAATTCTGGAGTGGTCAGTTCATGAAATAGTTAACTAACTTCAGTCCATTTTTAAACTTATCAGTTTCTTTTCACAATAAGTCTTCATGTGAAACGTTATTCGATTAAAAAAACGAATTTTTTTTTTTGTATAGACAGGCATGTAGACGTTTGGACGTACATTGCGTTCGGACGTACGATTTTTTGTCTTGCTAAGCAATACTATAATCTAATATATTGTTATGAGAATATGTGTTATAGTATTATATTGTATAAACGTCCTATACAGCAACATAATTATAAGCACTTAGTATCAATTTGTCATAACACATAGCTGAAGGCCTCAGTAGCCTGAGCTATATCTATACATGTTAGTATTAGTTTTATGAACTAAACTATCATAATTAATAAAAAACAAACAAAAATATATTGTTTATTTGCAAGAGATTAAATTTGAAATATATTTTGGACAGTATATTAACATTAAAAAAAATAACTAGCTCAAAACAAGTATTAGAAAAAAAATTAATTCTAATTCATTATTTCTTTCGACTCAAACGCAATTAAAAGATAAGAAAGTATTTAAAACTGCTTGAATGAAATAATTATCTCAATAGTTTAACACACATTTTCTTTAATCTTTTACAAAATCTATTCATAAATAAATAATTAATACAATAATAATAAAATTAATACATAATTCAAGTAAGTTTATATGGAGTAAGTTTAATTACATGCCAATTATATATTTTTAACATCTCCTAAGGTATTATTATAAATAACTACATACTTTCTGGTAATAGTAATAAATATTTTTAAAGTTGGATAATATAAACGGTATTTAATTTTAAATTCCGTAAGTAATGGGTGCAGTTTCTCAGCACTTTATAAATTATGTTTATCACTTTACGATATTGTTTAAAAGAAAAGTATCTATGCTTACACTCACTTTACTGAAACCCCATATTTGTAACGCGATTCTGTTTACAATGACTTTAAAGAATGATTAAAACTTGATCTCCTTGGGCATTCAATAATTTTACAATATCTCAATTAAAAAAATACTTCCTATCCAATTTATTAGTAAATTGAGTGACTAATTTTTTAGGGTAAAATTTTTAATAAAATGTTTAAAAATATTCTTATATCGATTTAAGTTTAGCTGCGGTTTTTATTTAAATTTTAATGTTTTTCACAAATATATGAAAAAAACATGAATCAGCAAAAGTGATAGAAACTGATCAAATCCGCATAGTTTTGAAGTAAAAACAAAAATATTGAATGAATTATTTTAAAGAATTAAATTGTTATCAGTTAAAATTTTAATTACAAATCATACCACCCCTGCTTGATATAATCAAGTTGTAAAGAACAAAGTTCAATTTTATTTAAAAATACTAATACGAGTATAAATAATTGATAATAAAAGTTATTAAATTTTTTTATTGATGCAAATTTACATTACAATAATATACAAATATATCAATAAAAACAATAGTAATATATAATCATATAGACAGTAATTCTTTAAAGTACAGATAAACTATTCTAATAAGTCCATTCATTCTTGTTTCGAAGTAATCGATCAGCTCGACTTTACTCGAATTCGAATATTTGGATCAAACACTTTAAATACTTGAAATGTTGGAGTTACTAAAAGAGCATATTTATATTTAATTTATTTTGATCTTATTTTATATAAATATGTATAGTAATAAATGCTGGAACACCATTTCATGTTCGAATATTTTCGAACAGTTCATTCCTGAGCCATATGCACCAGAACACTCGAACATAGATTATATTTTAACCTCTACTATTAATAA